AGCTTCCCTGCTCGCATTTTCCTCTGCAGAGCAACGCCTGCAAGGCAGCCGAGGACGGGTACTTTCCCCTTGCATTGCTCCCTCCTCACCTCCATCTGTCCCTGAGCTCCAGCTCCTGCCCAGCCTGTTGCAGAGGCCGGAGGCCCTCATCCTTCTTCCCCAGCCTCTTTGTCACTGTGTCCCCAGGCTTAAACTCAGCCCTCCCAAGAGGATGTCTTCAGCACAGGCAAATCCTCAGCAACACCCATGTTCCCCTCTCCCTGGAGCAAAGCTAAGCTCAGCCCAGCGTCAGCAGTTAAGCCAGGATTTTTGGATTGAGTTCTCCTTCTTACCCCCAGATCTGGGGTCCCCAGGCAGGTTTTTGCAGCTTCCAGGTGTTTGGCTGCAGTGCATCCCTTGGCACTCCCACACCTCCGCGCCTGCCCGGGGCTGGGTCCCCTCCCGCCTGGCGCCTCGGCTGTGGGCTCACTCTGCGCTTGAGGCAGTGCTGCTAATCGGGCTCAGCACTGGGACCCCAGCCCAGCTGAAATCCCAGGGGCTGTGTCAGGTTCCCTAGTGAGGGGTCTTCTTCCAAAAGCAATGAATGATGTCCCCAAAATCCAGCAAAGAGAGGATAACCTGCCTGCTCTGTGGGGAAATGATGCACGGGGACAAAGCTCTGAAAACCTAAATTAAAAGCCCCAAAGCTTCTCTTTTCAAATGCATGCTATTTTGTTAGTTATCTTAATGGCCCTGCCATAGAGCCCAACAGCCCTGCATGCTGCTTGCTGTTGTGAGGACTCGGAGCCCGTCTTTCTTGGCCAACTATTAACAGTGCTGCACTGCAAATAAGAGTGGAAACCGCCTTTATCTTTTAATCTCCTTTGCTTCGTAAATCAGGTTTTGTGCCTATTAATTTCTGGGCAGGTGCCTTAATTAAAGTTTGGGGCGTGAAGATTAATGATATATCTGTGTCATGTTCCTTTCTTCTGGGAGTCAGCCAGATTCAGCCTGTGCTTGGCTACGGGCTTACTAAGGCACTCTTACAGCAGCTTGGAGAATTTCCTCCTAATTTTGGGCCTTTGTTCTCCTCTCCCCACAGCCTCTGTGGAGTTACACACCGATAATTAAGGTTTATGAAATGACAGTCACCTCAGTTACCAGCCGGCTGTAATAGGTTGGTTTGAACAGGAACATGGCAGCAGAAATTTCAAGGGGATGAGCATTTCAAAGGGATGTGGCCGGGGTAAAACTCATCTCTCAAAAGGGGTTTTCCTTCTGTGTCTTGGTAATAAAATCAGGGCCATCAGGGAATGCTCTTCTGGGCTGTGATTTCCATAGCCACCTCAAGGGCCTGCATCCCATCATCCTCTGTTTCTGTGGAAATGGGCAGCACCCAGTCCTGCGTAGGGTCAGCGATGGCTCCCTGGCTCCTCCTCTGATGGCCAGGGCTGCCTCACCACTGGCCACCGCACACCGGCAGAACGCCCTGACTTGTTTGGCCTCAGCACTCCAGGCTTGGCCTGGGGCCCCCCACTCCTCTTCATTGCATTCAAATAAAGAAACACCAGCGGCTTTTGTAAATAGCTTTTATAAATCCTGAACACAGAGCTTGAACAGTAAGCCTGAATTATTTATTTGGCTCCTTAAACAAACACTCAGGCAGGTTTTTAACATCACTCTTTGTGTCAGGGAGGTATCCAGGTAAAATTGCAAAAACAAACTGTCCTAAAGAAAATTTGTGGCAGGGTGTTGGCCTGAGCCCCATCCTCCATGCTGCTGAGT